CAAAACTTGGATTTCCTACTTACCTGCTGGAAATAGGGCATTGCTTATATAAACTTGTATCAGCTCTTAGGAAGTTCTTTATCACCCCTAAAAATATTTCTCTCTACTTACGGGACACCCTGTGTGTATATATATAGCATTTCCAAGTCAATTTCAACCTTTTCCAAATCAAATTCAACCTTTTCCAAGTCAAATTAAACCTTTTCCATTTCAAATTCAACCTTTTCCAAGTCAAATTCAACCTTTTCCATTTCAAATTCAACTTTCGAATTTTTGTCAATTATCGATTTTTTTCTAAATGAAGGCCACTTACTATATTATCGAAGGCATAGCTTTTGAAAAATACAAAAAAAATTGATAACGGTTGCATATCCATTTATTTTAACATTTTAGATTTTTTCAGTGTGATATTTCTATGCCATTTCCAAGTCAAATTCAACCTTTTCCAAGTCAAATTCAACCTTTTCCAGATCAAATTAAACTTTTTCCAAGTCAAATTCAACCATTTCCATTTCAAATTAAATCTTTTCCAATTCAAATTCAACCGTTTTCATTTCAAATTAATGTTTTAATTTTTTGTAAATCTTATATTTTTTTTTTAAATAATGGCCATCCCCTCCTCCCCTCCAATATGAAAGTCTATTATTATGCTCTCCTAAGTAGAATTTTCACTTACGGATATCGATTTATTGTACCTATTCGGATTTATTAGGGACTAGTATTATGCTGTCCTGTACCTAGTTTTGAAAATAACCCCCATTTTAAGATTAAGTGCTGCGTCTCGAATCATTTAAGTTTTCTTGACTTATTTGATATAAGGGTGTATTTTTATGTTTCCCGATCAGTAAATTTTGAAAATGACATCGATTTTATGTTTACGCCACTGTGTTTTGACTTATTTAAGTTTTTAGAATTTATCCAATATAAAGGTCTACTTTTATGTTTCCGGAGCCGTAGATTTTGAAAACGACCTCCATTTTAAGATTAGGCCACCGCGTTTCGATTTCTTTAAGTGTTTCGAATTTTTATCATAAAAGAGTGTATTCTTATGTTTCCGGAGTCGTAGATTTTGAAAATGACCTCCAATTTAAGATTACACCACTGCGTTTCGGCTTATTCAAGTTATTCGAATTTATCCAATTTAAAGGTCTACTTTTATGATGCCGGAGCCTTAGTTTTTAAAACGACTTACATTTTAAGATTAGGCCACTGTGTTTCGGTTTTTTAAGTGTTTTTGATTTTTCCTTCGAATAAAAAACAAAATACGAAGGATTAATTTATTTTTCAATAAATAAATAAAAATATCTAATCAAAATAAATAAAATATGTATTGTCTCATTTTTAATTTAATTTTAGTTATCTTTTTTAATGTTATGGTCTCCTGTCACAAAATTATAAGATTTCGAACAATTAGCTGAAAAATCTGAATACGGAAGGTTAAATTTATTACCAGCTGCTTTTCGGCTTTTTAGTTTGTATTCTGTGGTTAATTTAACTTTAGCTTTATAATATTTATTTATTTATTCATACTCGAAAACATATTGATGAAACTTTGTATTGAAAAAATCCAAAATGAAGCCTAATTATTCGAGATGCAGCGGCTTGATCATAAAATATTAGATAAATTTAAATATTAAAGATTAGAAAATTTTCAATACGTCTCGGATAACATATAAGTAGATCCTTATACCGAAAAAGTAAAAAAAAAAAATTTTATAATCCAAAACACAGTGGCATAAACTTGAAATTAGGTCATTTACAAAATGGAGGAAATCTACTGCTCCAGAAACATAAAATTAGACCTTTATACTTGTTAAATTCTAAAAACTTAAATAAGTTGAAACGCAGTGACGTAATCATAAAATAGAGGTCATTTTCAGAATCTACGGTTCCGAAAACATAAAAGTAGACCTTTAAATTGGACAAATTCGAAAAACTTAAATAAGTCAAAATGCAATGGCGTAATCATAAAATGGAGGTTATTTTCAAAATCTACGGCTCAGAAAACATAAAAGTAGACCTTAAGATTGGATAAATTCGAAAAACTTAAATAAGTCAAAAAGCAGTGGCGTAATCTTAAAATGGAGGTCATTTTCAAAATCTACAGCTCCGGAAACATAAAAATACACCCTTACATTGAATAAATCAAAAAAACTTAAATAAGTTGAAATGCAGTGGCGTAATCTTAAAATGGAGGTCATTTTCAAAATCTACAGCTCCGGAAATATAAAAATACACCCTTACATCGAATAAATCAAAAAAACCTAAATAAGTCGAAACGCAGTGGCGTAATCTTAAAATGGAGGTCATTTTCAAAATCTACAGCTCCGGAAACATAAAAATACACCCTCATATGAAAAATATCTGAAAAACTCAAATAAGTCGAAACGTGGTCGCCTAATCTTAAAATGGAGGTCGTTTTCAAAATCTACGGCTCCAGAAACATAAAAGTAGACCTTTATATTGGATAAATTCTAAAAACTTAAATAAATCAATAAGCAGTGGCGTAATCTTAAAATAGAGGTCATTTTCAAAATCTACAGCTCCGGAAACATAAAAATACACCCTTACATCGAATAAATAAAAAAAACTTAAATAAGTTGAAACGCAGTGGCGTAATCTTAAAATGGAGGTCATTTTCAATATCTACAGCTCCGGAAACATAAAAATACACCCTTACATCGAATAAATCAAAAAAACTTAAATAAGTCGAAACGCAGTGGCGTAATCTTAAAATGGAGGTCATTTTCAAAATCTACAGCTCCGGAAACATAAAAATACACCCTCATATGAAAAATATCCGAAAAACTCAAATAAGTCAAAACGCGGTCGCCTAATCTTAAAATGGAGGTCATTTTCAAAATCTACAGCTCCGGAAACATAAAAGTAGACCTTTATATTGGATAAATTCTAAAAACTTAAATAAATCAAAACACAGTGGCGTAAACATAAAATGGATTCCATTTTCAAAATTTACTGATCGGGAAACATAAAAATACACCCTTATATCGAATAATTAAAAAAAAACTAAATAATTCGAAACTCAGTCACGTGATCTTAAAAAGGACGTTATTTTCAAAAACTCCTCATACGATAACAGACCCACCCATCGAAAAATTAAAGATAATTAAATAAATAAAAAAAGGTTGAATTTGAAATGGAAAAGGTTTAATTTGAAATGGAAAAGGTTGAATTTGACTTGGAAAAAGTTTAATTTGATTTGGAAAAGGTTGAATTTGACTTGGAAAAGGTTGTAATTGACTTGGAAATGCTATATATATATTATCCTGTATAGTTAACCTTGACAATCGAGGAAATTAAGGAGACCGTATAGTTGTTAAGAGATTATAAAACGACGAGCGAAGATGGAATAATAGCTGAAATGTAGAAAGGCGCATTGAGAATACATAACTAAAAAGACAGAATTGATGCAGGAAATCTGGGGGAAGGATGAAATACCAGAATGGAAAATGGCACTAATACATCTGCTACATAATAAAGGAGCGACAACAGATTCCAATAATTACAGGGGGATTTCTTTACTTCAAGTGACGTACAAAATTTTGTTAAGAATATCAGATGGTAGAATACCAATGGGGATTTATAAAAGGAAGATCGTGCCCAGGAAAAATACAGAGTCTAAAATTAATCTTGAGGTTCTCCATCTGATTTCCAGAAAGGCTACGATTCGTTGGATAGAGAAACACTTGTTTGGATACTGAGGGGATACGGATTAGATGAAAAAACTATAAATTTAATTAAACTAACTTTGACTGGGACATAATCTAAAATTAAATTCAGGAGAAATCAGTAAATAGTTTGAAATTAAAAATGGGTTTAGACAATGGAACGGGTTATGTCCTATTTTATTCAATATAGTGTTGGACAAAATTATGTGAACATTCTAGGAATCCAATAAGTCTGATGTAAGGATAGAGGAAAAAATAAGTAGTAAAAATCAGGTGCTTAGCTTTCACAGATGATCTAGCACCTATGGGGGATTGTGAACAAGAGGCGGTTAATCAGATTAATGAACTAAAAGAAATAATAGAAAGAGATGGTTTAAACATATCATTTGAAAAACGGAAATAATGGCTTAAGATGAGGGAAAATAGAAAAAAATCTAGACTAAATACAGAAAAATCAGGTCGGTGAAACAGTTTAAATACCTAGGGTAACTCGTGAACTAAATAGGGGGAGACATGCAAATGGCATAGAGTAGGGAAGTAAAATTGTATAAATTAAGGTTCTTAGTCAGGAGTTTGTGTAACAAAAAGAATCTTTCCAGGAAAGCCAAAATTAGACATTATGAAACATTCATAAAACCGGTGCTCTATGGGATGGAGACTATGGGATTTACCAACATGAAATCATTTCTGAGAACAGAAAGAAAGATTCTGAGAATAATATATGGGCCAAGAAAAGGGGGGGAAGCTTTATGAACATACTGAAAACTTTGAATCATCGATGAGGAAAAGTTCTTCGGACATATGAAGTAAATGGGTGGGAATAGCTTAACCAAAATAATATTTGATAAAGTAGTGGGACTGAAGAACATTAAAGGTTATCTGGAATAAGTAAAAAAATAAATTGAAAAATGGAAGACTACCGAGATAGGGACAAATTTGAGAAAATAGTGAAAAATATAAATGTTCTTGTAGCGGCAAGAAAGTAAGAAATGTACAGTGGAAAGAAAGAGAATGATGGGAGAAAAAATAAGAAGAATATGGACAAAAAAATGTTAATATGGACATTGTTTCGCGCGCGCATGTGTGTGTGTGTGTGTATTACATACATACTTTGATTATCTTCTTCTTCTTCTTTCTCTATCTCCTTCATGCTGTTAAGCCTAGAGTAGTCTCGGTTCACCTTCACAGTATGTGTCCCTATTCTGGGCCTTCCTTTTCATCTCGACTTAGACTATGTTTTTGTTTTGTTCAATTTTATAATTATATGTATAAATACATTATTATTGAAATCTTATTGTTTTTATTTTTTAGGAATCCAGTTAATGCATATTATAAAGCTTTGATTGCTAATGCTGCTACTAGTGCTTTAAGGTTGCATCAACGGCTACCAAGAGTGATATCATGGCGTGACTTTTTAGTAGCTATGTCTAAGGAAGATAGCTTCCATTATCTAATTTATTCAGTGATATTTTTATACGTTTCACCTTTCACACGTATCCTTTTTGTTCATACAAATAACAGTTGTTTTTATCTCTATATTTTCATAGCTTTCAGATGACAATGCTGCATATCTGTTGTATGGGGGTACTCACAATTTCTCATTTAGCATACTAAATCTTTCATTCTAGTTTAATCTTAGTTTAATCATAATTGAAAGGTATTAGGAGTGTAATGGATAATAAGTTATATAGAGTGTCATGAAAAATTCCTTGAAGTTCAGGAAATTATTTGAATTTTTCGGTTCAGGTTCTGCCTGAATTCGGAATTAAGCTTAAAAAAAAAACAGCAGGTCATCGTAGATTTTGCGTTTTTAGTCTAATGATTCCTGTAGTAGTTGGCAGCAATTGTTTTCCTAACCATTTCTGGTTCCAAAAAAGCTGTAACAAGTTTCCTTCCACTAACATTTTTAGACAGTCACTCTGTCTTAAACAAGTATTCTATATTCTGTTTTATCTTTCATGATTTACTCTATCTGTCACTTACTGAGCTTGGAATGTTATCGAACAGCAAAATAAGGTAGTAGATCCAATTTTTCCAGCTCCAGATTTTACCTGATTTACACCAATCTTATTTAAGTAACAAAGGGATTTATGCCTTGCCCTTGAAACTGGTAGGCTTAACCATGGTTCATGTTGCAGTTTTCAATGCTCCATTGCAATTCCATTACTGTCTGTTATTCTATGACGTTAAGTATCATTAATTCAATTACTTATTTTAGTTTCATTTTCATTACTTCCTTTGTTTTGTTTTCAGCATTTTTTCATTCATTAGAAAATAGTAAACTATAGTGTTATTTTATTATTTTTCCTTTGTTTGTTTATTGTCTAATTGTCATGAACTCAGTTAAACTTATGTTAAATATTGTTTAAAATTCAGGTTTATAACCATCGTTAAAAATTTAGTCTAAAAATCTATTTTGAGCTTCAAAATAAAAGTGTTATTTTTTGAACCTACGGATCATTTATAATGTGTGGTTATATTTCGAACCCTAACAGAACACTTATTAATTAATTTCTCTGTTTAAAGTTTGATTCCAAAATACCTTTTAATGGTTATGTGGAATCTAATACAATAAATTATTAAAAAATAAACTATGTGTTTTGTTGTGAATGATATTGTGGTGAAATTTATTTCTTTATGCAAATTATCATCTATTTATACTTAAAACTGTTGTTTCTATCCTCAATTTTCTTATTGTTTTTTTTATTTTTGGGTATACATTAAACTTTCAATGTAAAAAGTCAGGTAACAGTTTTTACTTTCACTTACCTATATATAAAATATATAGTTAGGGAAAGTATTGCGATCGTGAAAACTTTCGAATCTCTGTTTTCAACGGAAATACACGTTTTGATGTCCCCTGACTCCAAATAACCAAGTCCCCCAAAATGGTCTGTGTGTGTGTGTGTGTGTGTGTATGTGTGTGTGTGTGTGTGTGTTAACAGTCTAGCTCAAAAACGATAAGTCATACGCATGTGAAATTGTATATTTAAGGTTTTTATATACTAAGGATGTTACAGCAACTTCTTTGTCAAAATCGGCTAACCAGAAGTGGCACTTTTATATCATGGACTAAACACATTTTTGCGATTTTCTCGAAATCAGCTTTAACGATTTTGATTAAATTCATCATATCGGTATAAAATTAAGCAGTTTTAAATAAACTAGTTTTTATTGTGATTGATGTTTTCTAACAGGGCTTAAATTGCTAATTTTCAATATTAGCTTCCTCTAAAGTACCTTTAATTTTTTTTATTTGAAACAAATGGCTATTTCACATTAATCTCTAATATAAAAGATAGTTAAATATAAAATACGAAAGAATTTGATAATTAACTAAAGGAGAAATAAGAGATCTTACGGAGAATAGTTGTAATTGAGGAACAAAAGAAATACGAGCGCACCCGAGCTTGCCTGAAAGATTAGAACATACTTCCATACGTAACATGAGCTTAATATAATAAGGACTCCATTAATACTATGTAAATAAACTGATAATTGGTAAATGGTTGACTGTCGTGGATAATGAAGAGAAGAATAGTTGGGGTGGTCAGTCAAAAAAGAAGGCAAAAATAAATGATAATATTTATTTTTACATATGCCGACGTTTCGACCTGAAGTTCAGGTCATCATCAGGGCTAAGAAAATGTAATGTAAATAAAATAAATGTAATGTAATGAAAATGTATGTAAATAAACATATGCGGTTTTCATAGATGCTATTGTTGGTATTATTTAATATTTAATTGTATAGATTACATCGATGTAAATATTAAAATTTGTTTATATAAGGCTACTTATAAAAATAAAAATACCCACAATGAAATATAAATCAATATAGCTAAATCAATATAGCGTTTGTAATTTTTTACTTTCACTTCCCCTTTGCTTAAAAATACTTATTTCTGCTAAAAAGAGGGTGGTAAATAAAAGTTGTGTGGTGATGCACGCACCACACCAGATTTTTCATTATTAATTCCAAATTGTACACTTTTTGTCTGAAACCAACCAAATACACTTTATGGTACTGACTTGGTTTAAAATTCATCCAGTAAATTGAAGTAAAGTGTTCTGAATTTCTCAGTTTACAGCATTAAGATCCCTGAATCATGCTTTTCCTCACAGTATCTATTAGGTACATAGTTACCAATTTCAATGAATATTAATTGATATCAATTAATATTTTAACGTCAATGGTTTGTCATTTCCGAATAAAATTTAAGGAACAAGTCATTCTTGAAACAAATGTGTATAATAGTCCAGTCAATAAAGCAGTTAATAGAGTGCGTGAGCAGAGACTTAAATGATTCCTTTAGAAACTTGTTTAGGGAACGAGTTACATTCTAATAGGGAATGTAATTCTCTACATCTTCTTTTAAATGAATTTCTTTCTCTGATGTATATCTGAATATCTTTGACGTTATGAAGAAATAATTGATGAAAAACATGAAGTAAAATGATTTTTTTAGAAAATTTGATCTTTTTCCAAGTTTGTAACTCAAAAACAGTTTAGAATTCTAATAAAATCTATAGAATAAAAGTTTTAGATAATTTAAAACTTTAATGTTCTATATGAAACATTTTCCCTGCGATGAACCGTTTTTGAGGTATAAACTAAAGTCCAAAAATTGTGACCTTTCCTCCCCCCCTTTCCCTCTCCTCTGGCTCACCACCTAGACGCCAGGACTTTTGATATGTTCATACCCTAAGCACCCTGAACAGGTTTCTAAAGGAATTGCTTAGGTCCCTGCTCACGCATTTTACACCCCCTTTTTGGGCATCCATTGACTGGACTATAAATAAAGGAAAGTACATCTGTATACTTGTAAGCGAATTCAAGAGATAAAATTGTTATTGGACCATTTTACAATAATATTACAACTTTAAGCCAATAATATTAGACATTATTTTTTAAAATATAAACTCAAATACAAGTGAGTCAAGGAAAATAATGGATGGAATTCGATAACATTGAATGGGAACACCTAGGTGTTCACATCTACCCCCACAATTCTTGAAAATATCATTGAAACTGGACGTAGCATATTCTAAATCTTATATTTTGGGTGTTTTAGGGGAGTGTAAATTGGATCATGTTTTCTGTTAGAATTTAATTGCCTAAATCATTTTATTTTAAAAAGATCATATGTTTTATTAGTTATGGTGTGAACAAGGTTTTGGATGATTTAATAAATGAATTAATACATTTTTTTTTTATTGTATTTAAAAATATGGATGAACCAGCTGTAGGTGTTATGCCTGTTTTTATTATTTATATTTGACTACCAAAAGAGAGAACCATATTTTCAATTATGGAATTTTCAATTCTGAGGATGAAAATTAGTTTCACTTCATGTATAAATACTAAATCCCCACTGTTCATCTCTATGGTAGAATATATATATATAGCAAACAGAATCAGAAAACAAACCATAACTATATTAACTTAGTTATTGTTTTTGTTATAATGTTGTTTTATCTGTATGGTTCCTGCACTATAGTTATTTTTATTGATTTGATTTTGTGATTATATTCCTTAGTAATTGTTCAGTTGTACTACTTCCAGTTTTCCTGTTTGCTTTGATTCATTTTGCCAGCTATTCATTAACACTTTTGGACGTAAGTATTTTTTTGTTTTCTCCAACCATTAGTTCATTATTATTTCAGTGTTTAATTTCCAAGTTTTTTCTTATTTGAAGGCCCACTTGTCATTTATTATAAATTTTATTAAGAAGAATTAATCAGGTCTTCATATTATTTTTATTCTTTATTAGCTCGACATTGTGGGTTTATATTTTTAACATTTTCAAAAAATTATTTAATAATTCCCTCTCCATATTATCTTAGAAAATTGTATACATTATTCTTAAAAGCGTCAATTTGTAAAAAAATGTTTGTTAAAGAGTATTATTCTTCACATATCAGATATTTTTGTTCCAGTGTCTATTGTTAAAACAGAAAATTAAAATAATCATTTTATGAAATATGAAAATAATCTCATATTATACTTATTAAGTGACTTATTCAATTGTGAATTTCTTCAATCGAAAAAACTTTGTATTGAAACAGTTTATTAACCCTAACTATAATAGAGCCTGCTATTATTATACTTTTGCTATTATTTACTGGTACTTATGTTTAAAGATTAATTGGTCTGATAATGCATCCTGCTCAGTGTAGAATTCCTATTTACTATACCTAGATATGCATATTTATATTTTACCTTTTTTTATAATATTGTAGTATCATGTCATAATTATGTACCTTTACAAGTATTTATTTATTAATTTATCGATAAATATGTAGGTAGTTGTACTTGTTCCATTATACAATTGTGTATTTTAGATTTTCTTTTAAATTTAATTTTTAATATTATTATTACATCTTACAGACCATTGGACGTAATTCATGGTGGGGTGCTAGGTTACTCATTTCTCTTGTTGAACTCCAGTCAAGGAAAATACTGAGTTTGATCGCTCTTACTGAGATTCTCTTGATGCCAATCTCTTTTATATTTCTTTTTTTGTAAGTATTATATTTTTATAATTAGAGCCTCAATTTTATGAACATTTTGTGATAAGATTTTCTTTTAGTATTGTAGATTACTTCATAATCTCGTATAACAAAATTTAATTCATTTTAAAGAAACATAAAACAAAAAATGTAATTAATTGTTGGAGGTAACTATGAAATAAAAAGTTATTCATCGATATAATATTTGAATAAAACTATCTATTTGATTTATTTTGCTCTGACAATGATGCACAACAGTTTTCCTGTATTTTGAGCCTATTATAAGTCTAAAACTTGACATATTTTAATTTTTTATAATTACCGATTATATTAGTTCATTAGTTATTAGTTCTTTTCTCTCTAATATGTAAAAAAACATTTTATGTATTTATATATATATATATATATATATATATATATATATATATATATATATATATATATATAAATATATAAATTTGAAAGACCTGAGACAGTGGGTCAACGACATGGCTCAGAAAGCTGAAGAAGCAGCTCGCATAGGTAATGCCAAAGAACTCTACGACTTCACAAGGATCCTGATATAGAAATCACTGAAGCATGTCTGAAATGAAGAATGGCAAATCCCCCAGGAATCAATGGCATCTCCTCTGAAATCCTAAAAGTCAATGCACAAGCCTAGATAAACATCATTTAACCATCTTTCAGAAAAATATGGGAAGAAGATAAAGTACCTTCAGAGTAGAAGAATTGGCTCATTATGAAGATTCCAAAGAGAGGCAACATCTCTGAAGGCATGAACAAGTGAGGAGTTACCAATTGGTGCACAATGGACCCAGTAGGGGTCAACGTGCTTATGGCCAACATAAAAAAAAAAAAAAAAAAAAAAAAAAAGTGAGGAGTTACACTAATTTCTGTACTGAGTAAAGTGCTAAATTGAGTGATCCTGAAGAGGATCAAACGATTAATTGAACAACATTTGAGGAGGAAACAAGCCGGCTTCAGGGAACACCGAAGCTGCACTGATGCAAAGTGTTGAATGGCAGGATCCCCTACCTTTTAATTATAGGTTTTGAGAAGGCATTTGACACAATAAACCAGAATATCACATGTAAATTCCCAGAATAGTACGTGCTTTCCAACTAGATTATTAATTTCATAAGGAGAATAGTTAATGAAGGAGTGCTCTCTAATCCAATCAAGATAGTAACTGAAGTGATGCTGGGATGTGTGCTATCACCAACCTTATTTATCATTAGTCCAGTCAATGAATGGCCCAAAAGGGGGCGTAGAGTGCGTGAGCAGGGATCTATGCAATTTCTTCAGAAACTTGTTCAGGGTGCTTAAGGTGTGAACTAGAGATGGACAGGTGAATTGAGAATCGAATTAAAAAGTCTATTCCTCTGTAAGAATCGTATTCTCAAGCAATTCACATGAAAGAATCACGATTCACTCGGTATCGGTCGAATCAATAGATATTATTAAAAATAAAAGTACAAAAGATAAAAAAACAACTCTATACATATATAAATAAACTAAACAGAGAGAAAAAATAAATAAAAACATAATTGAAGTGTTAAATTAAATATTTGCATAATAATAGGTAATAAATAAACTTAATTAAAATAAACAAAATAGTGATATAAAAAAGCAAGGGTTATAAATATCTGAAGTATGAAATGTTAAATTAAATAGTTACATAATAATAGGTAATTAAAAATAAAAGTACAATATAGAAAAAAATAAACAAAATAGTAATGTAAATAAGTGTATGTTATAAATGTCTGAAGTTCAGAATGCTGGTAGAAGAGTAGATTTGGAAAGTAAACAAAACAACTCAGTGAACAATGCAATAAGGCTAGAAGATTTTCTAGAATAAACCCAGTGAATCGATCCAGTCGATTCCCGGATTCAGTTGGAATCGGCGATTCACAATTCCTGATTCCTTAGGAATCTGCTGATTCCCGTTTCACAAGGAATTGATCTATTCACCGTTCTTGTTCTAGGAAATCTTCCAGTCGTGTTCCATTGTTTGTTGGGTTGTTATATTTACTTTCCGAATCTGCTCTTCCACGAGCATTTCTTATTCAGACATTTTGTAACCTATGCTTAAATACATTACTATTTTGTTTTTCTCTCTGTTAGTTCATCATTTATCCTAAAAGTTTGAGATTTGTTAGAGTTTAAAACAAGGTGATTCCCTTTCACCTGTCCTGTTTAATTTAGCATTAAAACATAACAATAGGGAGGTAAAGGGTACCAAAAAAAGGTTGTTGAAGAAGGTTGATGTTGGTGGAACAATACCCGTGCTTGGTTATGCTAATGATTTGGTCCTGATAAATGAAGACACAGAAACTATAAAACTAAATATTACTACAGTAATGAAAGCTGATAAAGAACTGGGTTCGAAATATATATAGATAAGACTAAATATAGCATTTCCAAGTCAATTTCAACCTTTTCCAAGTCAAATTCAACCTTTTCCAAGTCAAATTAAACTTTTTCCAAGTCAAATTCAACCTTTTCCATTTCAAATTAAACCTTTTCCATTTCAAATTAGACCTTTTTTTATTTATTTAATTATCTTTAATTTTTCGATGTGTGGGTCTGTTATCGTATGAGTAGTTTTTTGAAAATAACCTCCTTTTTAACATTACGTGACTGAGTTTCGAATTATTTAAGTTTTTTTGAATTATTCGATATAAGGGTGTATTTTTATGTTTCCCGATCAGTAAATTTTGAAAATGACATCCATTTATGTTTACGCCACTGTGTTTTGATTTATTTAAGTTTTTATAATTTATCCAATATAAAGGTCTACTTTTATGTTTCTGGAGCCGTAGATTTTGAAAACGACCTCCATTTTAAGATTAGGCCACCGCGTTTCGACTTATTTGAGTTTTTCGAATATTTTTCATATGAGGGTGTATTTTTATGTTTCCGGAGCTGTAGATTTTGAAAATGACCTCCATTTTAAGATTAGGCCACCGCATTTCGACTTATTTGAGTTTTTCGGATATTTTTCATATGAGGGTGTATTTTTATGTTTCCGGAGCTGTAGATTTTGAAAATGACCTCCATTTCATGAATACGCCATTGAATTTTGACTTATTTAAGTTTTTCGAATTTAGCCAATTTAAAGGTCTACTTTTATGTTTTCGGAACCGTAGATTCTGAAAATGACCTCTATTTTATGATTACGCCACTGCGTTTCAACTTATTTAAGTTTTTAGAAGTTAACAAGTATAAAGGTCTAATTTTATGTTTCTGGAGCAGCAGATTTCCCCCATTTTGTAAATGACCCAATTTCAAGTTTATGCCACTGTGTTTTGGATTATAAAAGTTTTTTCCTTTTTACTTTTTCGGTATAAGAATCTACTTATATGTTATCCGAGACGCATTGAAATTTTTCTAATCTTTAATATTTAAATTTATCTAATATTTAAGCTCCATTTTATGATTAAGCCGCTGCATCTCGAATAATTAGGCTTCATTTTGGATTTTTACAATACAAAGTTTCATGAATATGTTTTCGAGTATGAATAAATAAATAAATATTATGAAGCTAAAGTTAAATTAACCACAGAATACAAACTAAAAAGTCGAAAAACAGCTGGTAATAAATTTAACCTTCCGTATTCAGATTTTTCAGCTAATTGTTCGAAATCTTATAATTTTGTGACAGGAGACCACAACATTAAAAAAGATAACTAAAATTAAATTAAAAATGAGACAATACATATTTTATTTATTTTGATTAGATATTTTTATTTATTTATTGAAAAATAAATTAATCCTTCATATTTTGTTTTTTATTCGAAGGAAAAATCAAAAACACTTAAAAAAAACCGAAACACAGTGGCGTAATCTTAAAATGTAAATCGTTTTAAAAACTAAGGCTCTGGCATCATAAAAGTAGACCTTTAAGTTTGATAAATTAAAAAAACTTGAATAAGCCGAAACGCAGTGGCGTAATCTTAAAATGGAGGTCATTTTCAAAATCTACAGCTCCGGAAATATAAAAATACACCCTCATATGAAAAATATCCGAAAAACTCAAATAAGTCGAAACGCGGTGGCGTAATCTTAAAATGGAGGTCATTTTCAAAATCTACAGCTCCGGAAATATAAAAATACACCCTCATATGAAAAATATCCGAAAAGCTCAAATAAGTCGAAACGCGGTGGCCTAATCTTAAAATGGAGGTCATTTTCAAAATCTACAGCTCCGGAAACATAAAAATACACCCTCATATGAAAAATATCCGAAAAGCTCAAATAAGTCGAAACGTGGTGGCCTAATCTTAAAATGGAGGTCATTTTCAAAATCAACAGCTCCGGAAACATAAAAATACACCCTCATATGAAAAAAATCCGAAAAACTCAAATAAGTCGAAACGCGGTGGCCTAATCTTAAAATGGAGGTCATTTTCAAAATCTACAGCTCCGGAAACATAAAAATACACCCTCATATGAAAAATATCCGAAAAGCTCAAATAAGTCGAAACGCGGTGGCCTAATCTTAAAATGGAGGTCGTTTTCAAAATCAACAGCTCCGGAAACATAAAAATAAACCCTCATATGAAAAATATCCGAAAAGCTCAAATAAGTCGAAATGCGGTGGCCTAATCTTAAAATGGAGGTCATTTTCAAAATCTACAGCTCCGGAAACATAAAAATAAACCCTCATATGAAAAATATCCGAAAAACTCAAATAAGTCGAAACGCGGTGGCCTAATCTTAAAATGGAGGCCATTTTCAAAATTTACTGATCGGGAAACATAAAAATACACCCTTATATCGAATAATTAAAAAAAAACTTAAATAATTCGAAACTCAGTCACGTAATCTTAAAAAGGAGGTTATTTTCAAAACTAGGTACAGGACAGCATAATACTAGTCCCTAATAAATCCGAATAGTTACAATAAATCGATATCCGTAAGTGAAAATTCTACTTAGAAGAGCATAATAATAGACTTTCATATTGGAGGGGGGAGGGGATGGCCATTATTTAAAAAAAAAATATAAGATTTACAAAAAATTAAAACATTAATTTGAAATGAAAACGGTTGAATTTGAATTGGAAAAGGTTTAATTTGAAATGGAAATGGTTGAATTGACTTGGAAAAAGTTTGATTTGATCTGGAAAAGGTTGAATTTGACTTGGAAAAGGTTGAATTTGACTTGGAAATGACATAGAAATATCACACTGAAAAAATCTAAAATGTTAAAATAAATGGATATGCAACCGCGTTATCAAAATTTTTTTTGTATTTTTCAAAAGCTATACCTTCGTTAATATAGTAAGTGGCCTTCATTTCGAAAAAAATCGAAAATTGACAAAAATTCGAAAGTTGAATTTGAAATGGAAAAGGTTGAATTTGACTTGGAAAAGGTTTAATTTGAAATGGAAAAGGTTTAATTTGACTTGGAAAAGGTTGAATTTGATTTGGAAAAGGTTGAAATTGACTTGGAAATGCTATATATGGTTATCTGCAAAAATGGCGACATTTTTGGTGATATCGATCGATATAGTCGGGAATAGGTGTGAACAAGTAGAGATGTTTAGGTATATAAGGTCTATTCTAAAGGGATTCGTCCCAGAATAAATAAAGTATTATTATAACTAGAAAAAACAAAATTGAAGAGGAAATTAAGGTTAAACTGAATGCAGGAAATGCTTGTTATTTTTCTGTGAAAACTTCTTAGCTCGCGCCTCCTGTCCCAAAACTTATAAATTAGAATTTACTAAATTATTATCCTACTTATGGTTCTTTATGGATGCGAAACGTGGCTGTTTACATTAAGGGATGAGCAAGGAACTAAGGTTTTAGAAAATGAAGTATAGCATAGAATATTTGTACCAAAGAACGATGAGTCAACTGGAGAATTTAGACAGTTACACAATGGCGAATTGCATTAATTTTTATTCTAACCCCCCTTCATGGGTTTTTCCTAGGCCAGTGTGTAAGGGCAGGGATTAATGCCTGAGTTAAAAGCCTCCATGCTGTGCACACACACTAGCCCGCTCGGCCACCTTGCCCCTTACGAATTCCCTGAACTGTCTCTGGTTGATATAATTGAGGTAATAAAATGGGCGTGTAAAGTGGTTGGGCTTGGTAACCAAAAATTCCTAAAAGGTTGATATGCGCTGTGCTGACTAGTAAGCGTCCGAAGGGTAGATTGAAGCGAAGGTGAAAAGATTGCGTTAAGGCTGATCTGACAGAACTGGGTTTGGATGGCGACCGGTGGAGGGAGGTGTGTAAAAACCGATTGGTGGTGTCGTCATTGAACCTTCATGTTCGCTAATAATAATAATAATAAAAGGCTTAGTGAACCCAAAGGTTCGATGCCGACACCATCAATCGCTTGTTACACACATCCCTCCACCGTTCGCCGTCCAAACCCAGTCCCTTCAAATCGGCTTTAATGCAATCTTCCCACCTTCGCTTCGGTCTACCCCTCGGACGCTTACCATTCGGCACAGCAAATATTAACCTTTTAGGAATTCTCGCGTTACTAAGCCCAACAACTTTACAAGCCCATTTGATTCGCCGCGATGAAATTACCTCAATTATATTACCCGGATACAGCTCACGCAATTCGGCGTTGTGTAACCGTCTGAATTCTCCGGTTAACTCATCCTTCTTTGGTCCGAATATTCTACGCAATACTTTATTTTCAAAAACCTTAAGACACTGCTCATCCCTTAACGTAAGCGGCCAAGTTTCACATCCATAAAGAACTGTAGGCAAGATAATTGTTTTATAGATTCTAATTTTTAAGTTCCGGGACAAGAGGTGCGAACTAAGTAGTTTTGTCACAGAAAAATAACAAGCATTTCCCGCCTTCAGTCTAACCTTAATCTCTTCTTCAATTTCGTTTTTTCTAGTTATCGTAGAATCTAGATACCTAAATTTATCTACCTGTTCAAACATATTACCATCTATATTGATATCACCAGTAGTATCGCCATTTTTGCAGCTAACCATATACTTTGTTTTATCCACGTTTATTTCGAGTCCTAGTTCTTTACCGGCTTTCATTAACGTTGTCGTATTTAGTTTTATAGTTTCAACGTCTTCGCTTAACAGTACCAGATCATCAGCATAGCCCAGCACGGATGTTGTCCCCCCGCCCAGATCCAACCCTTTCTCGGTTCGTATTACCTCCCTAATGGCATGTTCTAATGCCAAATTGAACAGGACAGGCGAAAGAGAATCCCCCTGTTTTAACCCCGAACGAACCTCAAATTTTTCGGACAAATTATTACCGATTCTAACTTTTCGTGTTCGCTAAACCTTTTATTAATTATTATTATTATATTTGTAATAAAATTAAATCTTCTTATAATAAACTTCTAATTTTTATTATTTTTAATGTAATGCTAAATATTTATCATGATTTTAATTTGTTTTAGTCATGGTGGTCTTCTAACTCCATTCTTATATTACCAGTTTCTTACCATGCGTTACAAGTCACAAAGAAATCCTTATACAAAGAATATGTTTCATGAATTGAGAATTATACTTGATGACTTCTCTGATCAACCAAACACTCCAAATTTCTTGAAGAATTTTATTAAATCATTCATAGTAGTTGTTTCAAGATTTGCTCCTCCGTTAGAAGCACCTAGAGACAATTAAACTTGGTCACAGTTTTAACAACTAGGTTCCACTACTAATGGTAAGAATTATCTTTTACTTTAATCACATAACTTTGACCTCAGTGAATATTCCTTATTTTTTTAAAAATAAAGGTCATTGTTATGCAATGATATGAGTTCTAGGTTGAGGGAACATCTGTTCTGTAGGGTATATTTTATTAATTTAATTTATATATATATATATATATATATATATATATATATATATATATATATATATATATATATATATATATAAATTGCACAATTTTTTTTTTCATATATTAAAATTTTTGACTACATAAAATATCAAAAGATTTATTTTTATAATTTAATTTCATTAACTGAATGAATTTCAGTTTTATTTTTAGTCCAAGAAACAAACTTAATAAAATAAAATATTAATAATGAAAAGAGCCAAAGATTGGGTAGCTCTGATTTTTTTTTTTTTAATTTTAATATTTGAGTTTGAATTAATTTTAAAAATTCAAATTTCCAAACTTTATTTGTTTGATGAGTAATAAGTTTATTTATGGAAATATAATTACTGATAGTCCTTTTTATTACTTCAGTGTATAATAAAAATATTTTTACATGATGCAAGAAGTATCAAAAATGAGTAATATCATGTGAAGCATTTCTCTACTAATGCTCAAACCAAAGCTAGTTAAATGCACTTTAAAGTAGTTAATAATGGTATTTTCTATGATATTTGCCAAAATAAAGTTTTTTTTCTTTCAATTTTGTTTATTAAAATTCTGTTTCTTTCTGAAAAAACAAAATGATCATGATGAAAACTTGAAAGAAATGATTTTCTACTGTTATTATAAAGTAGACCTTGGCAGAATTTATTTGAAATATTTTCTAAATAAATCTTATAATAACCTTCCCCAGTTATTTTGAAAATAATTTATTTCATGAAATAACTTGAGCATTATTTCAGAAATAATTATTTCAGGATTAATGACATAATTATTTTGGAAGTGATTATTTCAGAAATAATTTTCTGAATAAACATTCTGATAGATTCAAAAGGGATTGAAATAACCATAATAAAAATCTTATTGTTCACTCTAAATTTAGTTATGCCCCTGTTTTGTTTTCTGCAATTAGAAGGACTTGAGGCATTATATTTACTGCTGTTTGAGACACATAATCTTTGTAGAGGCTGAGTGTGCCGTACAGCTGTTCATTTTGTCTTATGCCCCTTTTTATTTCCTGCAATTAGACTGACTTGAGGCATTATGTTTACTACTGTTTGAGACACTTTAGTCTGTAGAGGCTGAGTGTGCCCGACAGCAATTTCATTTTTCTTATGCCCCTTTTCATTTTTTTTACAATCAGACGGACTTGATGCATTATATTTACTGCTGTATGAAACACTATAAAAGGCTGAGTATGCTCGACAGAAATTTCATTTTTCTTATGTTCTTTTTGTTTTCAAAATTTCTGTCGGGCACACTTAGCCTTCCAGATCATTAAACTGTATCAAACAACAGTAAATTTAATGCCTCAAGTCCCTATAATGATAAACAATGAAAAGGAGTATAAGAAAAATGAAATTTGTGTCGGGCACACTCAGCTTCTACAAAGATATAAGTATCTCAAATGCCAGTAAATATAATGCCTCATGTCCTTTTAATTGGTAAAAACGAAAAGGGGCATAAGATAAATGAAATTGGTGTTGGGCACAGTCAGCCTCTACAAAGATTAAAGTGTCTAAAAAGGAATATGACGGTGGAAACCAAATTAATATTAAGGTGATCAGGTTCATTCAGTCTCTTTAAGCTGGATACCTGTAGGTATTGTGTGAAATACGCACCCTATTGTCACTGTCATCAGTGGATTAGAGGTTGATCGGGTAATGTTATACCATATATTTAAATATTATATATTTTTTATATTGGTGGATTTTTAATGTTATTTCAGAATAGAGTTATTTTGGAAATAATTATTTCATGTTTTCTAAAATACTTTATTTATGAAATAAGTAAATCTGAAATATTATTTCAGAAATAAATTTAATAGTTATTTCATCGAGATTATTTCATTGGCAGTTTAAAATATTATTTCAGAAATAATACATTCATGAAATAATCATATGATGTAGTTCAGATATAAATTATTTCAAGAATGCCCAGGTTTATTATAAAGTAGTAAATTTGAATTTTTTATTTCAATCTAAACCCAATAAAATTTTCAAATCATTAGAACTACCCAATGTTTTGTATTTTGAATGTGCTTTGTTTCATGTACTATTCCTTTACTTTTTAATTTTCTTGAGTTATTTATATATTATCTTCTTATTACATAAGAATTAATATATAATTTATATTTATATTTATATTATATAATTTATATATTATCTTCTTATACCCAATTTTTTTATTGGGTTCTTAATAAAACCCAATTTGGTTTATAATTATACAAAAAATAATTGCATGTCTTAAGTTTTTATTAATTTGCATATTTTATTATAAATATTTTATTATAAAATCTCTTCATTATCAATTATTTCCTGATTATCACTAAGTCAAGTATAATCTGATCTCCAGGGCTGTTAACAGGATTTCCAGACCAAGTAAGTCTTCAGGATCCCATTAGACAGACATTAAATGTTCTTCATGTTTATTCTTATAATTAGTGTAGATTTTGTTTGTTGGTGTGAAGACAATAATAAATTTTAAAAATAACTAAAATTAAATATAAAAAAAAAATCCCACCAATACTATACTTCTAATATATCTCCTAGGTGTCATGAAAGTATTTCTTTTTATCTCAGGATTGCTGAGAAAACTGGGGATCATAAATAGTGCATTTTCCATTATGCCATTGTCTTAGACCTAAGTCTTGAGTCCTGACCAGTTATTTATTCTTATTTTATGACCTGGAATTGTCAGGCTTGTATTCATAAAATTTGTATCAATTAACAACTTTATTTTATCGTTATAGACAAAATAATTTCTCACTACACTACTGTAACCTAAGCAATGTAATCCTCCTATTTCATAATTTTGGTTGACACTCTAAAGCTCCTTTGGAGACAAAATTAGTAAACTTTATGTATGAGAAGAGCTCTTCTTGCATCCACTGAATCTTAGTATGAGTATTACATTAGTAAGAGGTTAAATAAAAGGGATAAAGGACATTGATGAGATCACCTGTTATTTCCAACAGTATTTAAGTTCACTTAAGTTAGTCTACTATGATACACTTAGTTATTATAAATTTAAAATAAAATAGTTATATTTATTTTTACATTCGCCGAGGTTTGACCCGAAGTTCAGACCTTCATCAGGGCTGAGAAAAGAACCAGATAACAACCGGTATAAGAAACTGCCTATTGTTATAAAATTCGATTGTATACCTATTGTTATCTGGTTCTTTTCTCAGCCCTGAACTTCGGGCCGAAACGTCGGCGAATGTAAAAATCAATACAATTATTTATTTTTACTATTCTATTTTGACTGATCTCCTCAACAATCCTTCTCTTCAATTATTTACTACAGTCAACCATCAATCCACAATTATTATAAATTTACTTATCAATACATGCCAGATTAATTTCTGAGAAATGATATTTAAAAAAGGATACTATGGAAATCCACTTAATTACCGTAATATATCTATGCCAAACTGTGAACTTTAAAATTTTTTACCCAAATCCTGCTGGAACGAATCACATTATGGGTCGAAGAAAGTGGAATTTTATAATTATAATGGAATGCCAATCAGGATTCAGAAACAGGAAAAGCTGCTTGGATAATGTTTTTGTCATTAACGCTGTCATCCAAAACCAATTTTTAAGTGAGCAGTCAAATCTTTTTGTTGACTCCATCAATCACACCTTGCTGTGGCACAAAATTTTTTCTATAGGTTTGAGTGGGAAAATAATCCTGAGATATAGTTCTGAGAAACATGTATGGTAACGTGTATGCACAAATGAAAGGAACCGCTGGAGGGCGGTCGCAAAAGATTAAAATTACTGAAGGTGTGCTACAAGGAGAGACGCTGAGTCCTATGCTGTTAAATCTCTTCTTATCGTATATTGAGGCATATTTCAGCAGGCGTAACCTGTCAGGTACCCATTAGCGGATGGTTCGACATTGTTTCTCTTGTTTGCAGATGACATGGTTATTTATGCCGATTCCTATATCGAATCTAGTAACAAAAATTAATGTTCTAAACGAATATTGCAGAGAGCATAAAATAATCATAAAATTAATAAAACTAAAATTTTAAATTAAATTTTGCCAGGGGGCGCCCAAAGAACTATAATAATATATATTTGGAAGAAGAAATGATTGATAGTCAGCACCTACAATTATTTAGGTGTCCATTTTTGTAGGTCTGATTTGCTTTTGCAAGCAGTTAAGATAGTTATCTCAAAATCAAACTCAACAATAGGCACTGTACTAACCATTTGTTCAATAGCCAAAACGAACTTATGGAAGGGGAGAAAAATTGAAAAAAATCCATCATTGATATAGCTTTGCTATATTGTGCTCAGGTATGAAGTCTCCGATACATAGACCTCTTAGAAAAAGCCAACATAAGTTTTTATTAAAAGACTTTTTAGTGGATTTTCTCTTTGTAAATCCACCCCAGACTTTTTAATACGTTTAGAAACAGGTACTATTAATATTGGTTTCGATGTTAGGAAGTATTCCTTGAATTGGTTGGTTAGGCTTGTGGAAATGGATAAATTTAGATATCCTAAAATATGTTTCGAAAAGCTAAAAACCAAATGTTACCAATCTGTTCTTTCAAAATATAATTAGTCTGCAGCTGAAAGTATTGTTAAATACTATAGAGGAAGGCAATTTAGTTTATGAGACTGACCCAGTCATAATTAGAGCTAATATTAACAGAATATTATACAAATATAAACAATATTTGCAGGAGGGTGACAAGAAAGCATTGCATAGCTCAGTTTACAGTGAACATTTGAATTTTTTTTTTTAACAATGGCAGGATCTCCCAGTACCTGTTGATGCCGGCTAATTTTAAATATACCATAGTATTAATGCATATCTGCTTC